TGCCTTAAATAAACATGAGTGAAATAAACGTGAGTGTGGTCAGAATGCACTTGCTTTCTCAAGTCTGTTCTGTCTTTTGTTACAGCACTTTTATAAACACAATGTATAGATTATATATATATATATATATATATATATATATATATATATGATTCAATTTCATTTAGAAAAAAGAAATGGTCATTTCTTAAAAATTAAATGTGAATGGCCAATCCAAATTACTAATTTCACAAATCAAATGTTGCTTAGTAGATAAAGGCAATTTTCAGATAAATTGTATTCTTCAATAGTGGGTCTCTCTTAACACTCACATGCTGGATTTCAGTGTGTTTAGTGTGATAAATTGTTCTTCTGGCTTTGTCTAATCTCAACCAGTGTTTTTACACTGTATCTAAATGTCACTGAATGGCCAGACTTATAAAAGAAAACTCTGAGGTAGGATATACGTGCCCAGGCATGTATATAGAGACCCCACGTAATATTCTTCTCCACCTTAAAGCCTCAGTGAAATGTTTTAATATAGGCACAGGGAACTGGGACAGGAATCATGCAAATTTATAAGGTAGTTAATAGGAAGAGGAGGAAACACAGAAGGCTTTGAGAAAGCCAGCATGTGGCCAGAAACAACAGCAGGTGTGGACATATGGCAATCAAATTAGAAAAGGGATTCTTGCCACACAGCCTTCCAGAAGAGAGGAAAGCCCCAGTGGCCCTCATGGAGGGATGATTTACTAAGTACACTTTACGTGTTTTATATTGCTTCTTTCACTGTTCAATTCCAAAGGAAATGTAAATCTATTCTACCAAATAGGTATACAATTTTTTCTTAATGAATACAAATAATCATTTTGAGTTGCCCTTTTATGTTTAGAAAAGATTGCTCTGCCAAAAGCACATTTCTAAATAAAGCATTAGCTAAGCTGAGACCATTTTCAAAAAAGCAAAGTTTGCAAGGCTATAATGATACTATTTAATTTTAACAAAACATTTGGTGAGATTGTTTAAAATTTTAAAATTTCCTTAGTCCAAGACAACTGTTAATAATATAATTAAAGTTATTTATTTAAGATTCCTTAACTTGTAAAATAATCTTCTATAGAAGATTGTGGAGCACATTTTTTTTCTGAAAATGTGTTTTAGTTCTCAGATTAGCTTTCAAAAACTTACTTGACCTACAAAATAACAAGAGCTGCATTATTAGCAGTCCTTCTTAAAATGTATTATTACTATTACATCATGTTGCTGTAATTTCTGCAGCATTCATGAGCTACAATTGTGTGTGTGTGTGTGTTTGTGTGTGTGTGTGTGTGTATGTGTGTATCTGTCTGATCTGTATCCATCTGATCTAGACTGGGAAAATGTCCATGTTTTGGTTTTGTTCTTCATTGTTTTTTTTTTTGTTGTTTTTGCTTTTGTTTTTGTTTTGAGTCAAAGTCTCATTCCATCGCCCAATCTGGAGTGCAATGGCATGATCTCAGCTGACTGCAACCTCCGCCCCTCGGGTTCCAGCGATTCTCCTGCCTCAGCGTCCCAAGTAGCTAGGATTTCAGGCATGCACCAGCATGCCCAGCTGATTTTTATATTTTTAGTAGAGATGGGGTTTCAACAAGTTGGATGTGGAGGCCGGTCTTGAACTCCTGACCTCAAGTGATCTGCCTGCCTCAGCCTCCCAAAGTGCTGGGATCACAGGCATGAACCATATGCCCAGGCTCCTTCATTGTTTTTACCCTGAGGGAAAATACAATCTTTGTTCAAAACCCAGAAAGACCCATGAAAATCTTCCTTTCCCAAGAGTTTTTTTCTTTCTTTTTCTTTCTTTCTTTTTCTTTTTTTCTTTCTTTCTTTCTTTCTTTCTTTCTTTCTTTCTTTCTTTCTTTCTTTCTTTCTTTCTTTCTTTCTCTTTTTCTTTCTTTCTTTCTTTTTCTTCCTTCCTTTCTTTCTTTTCCTCTCTCTCTCTCTCTCTCTCTCTCTCTCTCTCTTTTGCTGTCTCTCTTACACACATACACACATTCTCTCTTTTATTAGGGTGGTAACAGTATAGCCTATGGTCAGAATGAAGGGTATGTTCATATTTCAACTTTGAATTCTCTGGTTTGGTTTCTGCTTGTATTTGGCACCACACTTCTATTTCCTATGATCAAGTTTTTTGAACACCATCACAACAAATGAGTAACTAATTATCCAAACAAACCAATAGTTTTTAACTAAGCATTGATTGCTTCACTAATAGCGTTTTTTCAAACAGGATTATTTCGTTTACTTTGAATATAGAAATAGCCTTGTCGGCCGGGCGCGGTGGCTCAAGCCTGTAATCCCAGCACTTTGGGAGGCCGAGGCGGGTGGATCACGAGGTCGAGAGATCGAGACCATCCCGGTCAACATAGTGAAACCCCGTCTCTACTAAAAATACAAAAAATTAGCTGGGCATGGTGGCACGTGCCTGTAATCCCAGCTACTCAGGAGGCTGAGGCAGGAGAATTGCCTGAACCCAGGAGGCGGAGGTTGCGGTGAGCCGAGATCGCGCCATTGCACTCCAGCCTGGGTAACAAGAGCGAAATTCTGTCTCAAAAAAAAAAAAAAAAAAAAAAAAAAGAAATAGCCTTGTCTACATAAAAAATAGGAACTTGCAGTTAGTTTCTTGTTAGAGTGCCTATTGCACTTCTACTGAAATTAGTTTACATATGGTTAACTTAATATAAGAAGGCCAGAGTTCGTTTTTGGCTTTTGTTTTGTTTTTGAGATGGAGTCTCCCTCTGTTGCTCAGGCTGGAGTACAGTGCCCGGTTCATGATTCTCCACACCCTGGGCCTCCCGGGCTCAAATCATCCTTCCACTTCAGCCTCCTGGGTAGCTGGGACCACAGGCATGCACCACCAACCCCAGCTAATTTTTTTTTTTTTTTTTTTTTTTTTTTTTTTGGTAGAGATGAGGTCTGACTATATTACCCAGGCTGGTCTCAAACTCCTGGACTCAAGTGATCCTCCTGCCTTGGCCTCCCAAAGTGCTGGGATAACAGAGGTGAGCTGCTGTGCTCACCCTCTTCATTTCTTCATTGTTTTAAAATAGGCTTTTTGTTGGCAATTTGTTTTGGTTCAAGGCTTTTTTTTTTTTTTTTTTTTTTTTTTTTGCTTAAAATCTAGCTCTTAAAATAAGTTTAAAGTTATAGCAAAGGAAGCCAAAAACCATAATTAACATCATTGCCTCCACCACTCAGATGCTAAAACTGTTAGTATTTTAGTGTATTTGCTGTCAGTAATTGCTAACCTAAAACATATGGCTAAAGCCCATTGGGTCCACTTCTAGGTGCTCTCTACTCTTATGTGGGAGGAAACCACTAACATGAGTTTGGTGGGTTTCTTTCCTTTCCATTAAATAACATATGTATATGATATATATATAATATCATATATATATCATATATATATAATGTTTTGATGGAGATATATATATATATATATGTATATCGCCATCAAAAATATATTGTGTGTAGTTTTTAATGTCTGTGGTATGTATCTTTAATATATGTATATAGGCTATTATATATACATTTGATATAGTTATAGTTTATATTCTTTACCTTTTTTACATTTTTTACTCAACTTTTTTTTTTTTTTTTTTGAGACAGGGTCTCACTCTGTCACCCAGGCTGGAATGCGGGTGTGAGACACCCGCATTCCAGCCTCAGTGTGATTTCGGCTCTCTGCAGCCTCAACTACCCGGGTTTAGGTGATCTTTCCACCTCAGCCTTCTGCGAGGTGGGACTACAGGGACACACCACCATGCCCAGCTAATTTTTGCAGAGACAGGGTTTCACCATGTTGCCTAGGCTGGTCTCGAACTTCTGGGCTCTAGTGAACTGCCTGCCATGGCCTCCCAAAATGCTGGAATTACAGATGTGAGACACCATGCCCAACACCCAAATTTATTTTTTATTTATCCTATTGACATATGTAGATCTACCTCCTCCTTTTTAACTATTTTGTCACATTTCATCTAAGGAATAGAAAATATTGTATTTATTAATTCCTTTTTTGATAGACATTTCTAATTTTCTTTAATAGTTTTTCTGTTACTCCCTTATTACTTAGTAAGCAACTTTTATAATCACAGAAATATTTGAGTACTTAGGATTTGCACATTTTTATTATATAGCAAACCAGTCTTGAATATTTACCACTGGAGAAATTTTCTTCTTGATTATGCCTCATATCTGGCAAAGTGGCAAATAATTCAATATATTATTTTTAACATCAAATGTAATTTGTTCAAAATTTACATTAATCTTTCTCATAACTAGTCACTTCCATTTTGTCTTCCTGTCATCCTGAAGAACGAAAATGGAATTTCCCAGAGGTTTTAAGAATTGGGGGAGTATTAAATGTAGCTGAAATTAAGTGATTAATAATTTACTTTTGGGTCATGAATCAGCTTCATGGGATGCGAAGGATCATTTGCAACCCCAGAAGTATGAGCCGTAACAATGCACCTTTTAAGACTCCAGAAGTCTCAAAGGTTGGCTGCCCAACCTAATTAAACTTCAATCTTCTGATACCAAATTTATTTCTTCTTTGTACTGCATTCCTCAGATCTTCTTGACAGGAAAATGTCACTTTGCCCGACAGCTGATAGACAGGTTATGTAGCACCGTAATTGGAGAGAAAAGGATAGCTTAAAGCTACTCCATTTAATGGCTACGTGTATGGCTTTTTCTTTCTTTCTTTCTCTTTTTTTAAAGTTTCTATGACAGACACAAAAGGCCTTAGCAAATAGGCCCAGTGCCATTTTTTCCTGCTTCCTCCAGGGGTAATTATCTTACTCCATCAATAGTGCTGTCAGAAATTGGGCACATAATTCAGCATTTAAATGAACAAGCAATGTAATATTTCCTGTCTCCCAGTGGAATGCTTTGCAGCTCACATTCTTCTCTGTCACTCGCTCACTCTTGATGTATGTCCCATACCCAGTCCTTGAATGCCTTCTCTCCCTTGTGTTTCATTGCAGATGTTGGCTCCGACTTGACACCTACTTTATTTGGAGTTTTATAGGACCAGCAACCTTGATAATTATGGTAAGAATTCCTAATTAACTCTGTGTTTCCCAGGTCAAGAAATAAAACTTTCACTATCCCAGTACTGACTATCTTTAATTTACAGAGGTTAATGTGGGGAAAGCATGTACTTATTTGACCCTACATAATTCAAGCAATTAAACACTCATTATAGTCTACTTTTATGTTGTAAAATAGTTCATCAAAACTGTTGGAATAAGAAAATATGCATTTGCAAAAGCTTATGCAATATAATAACTACTCAAGGGTCCAATCCAACATAATCCATTTGGTTCTATAAATATTTGAACAGTGATGAGTCTAAGTTTGACAGTAGTATATTCCATTATTTTTCTTTTGAATAATTTGAATTGGGAGCTGACAGAAATTAGAAAGATGGGAAAACACCCGATTGTTCCTATCAGCTTTGTTTTGTATACGAATCTTGAAAACTTTACAATTTAAAAGCAAAACTTTAAAATTTTACTTGAGAATGTCACAATCACATTAGACATATATTCTGGAATCATATTTCCTTTTCTGTTTTTAAATAGATAATATTTTGGTTTCAAAAATGAATTGTTTAACTTAATTTAGATTAAACTGTTAGTGTAATTCTTATATAGTTATTTTAAAAATAAAAGTTGCTCTCCATCTTGTGAATAAAATATTCGCCTATTGACTTTGGATAAATATAGGTGTACGGTTTTTTATCTGAAATCTTTGGTGTAAGATGTGTTTTGGAATCAGAAATTTTTCACACTTTGAAAAGATAATATGGTACATATACTGCATAATACACAATATCCCTAGTGAGGAATAGGCAGTTAGCCAAAATCAAAACATATCAACCAGTACTCGCAGTAACTAGGGAGCACTCTGTAACTGAAGACAATATTTCACCAGAAAAAAAAAAAAAAAAGGAAAAAGGAAAGGTAAGAGCAGGTAGTAGAAAGATCATGGGCAGTCTTATGTCAATTCAAATTAGGTTTTCCCACCATTTAGATTTTGTTCATGTTAGGGGCCACTGAATGGATTTTTTTTTTTAATAACTCTCACTTTGTAGACTTTTTTGATTTGGGGATGATTGATACAGCATTGTGAACATGTATTTTTGAAAGTATTTCAGGAGGGCTTTTATTGCCAAGTTGTGGAATGTATAAATTAATCAAGTGGGAAAGGGCAATTCGCTACGTGGTTTGTTAAATACAGTTTAGTTTTGTGTGATACATGAAGTTTACATGAGAACTTTATTTCTGTTTTGTTTTAAATTTTATACTTTTTCTGTTTCCAGTGATATGACAATACCATTGGGGATTTCTTTTACTTTAGTCTTAGTTTATTATAGCATCAGAATTTAGACAACATTTTATAATCCTTTTGAGCCAGCTACACAAAAATATATTGATTTTAGTATTTGTATTTTTGTAATATAGTATTTGAAAATTGTCACTAAACAATAAATTCAGACAAACATTCAGAGTGTAGAAATAGTAACACATCTTTAAAAAGTATTGTTTTTGTTTTGACATACACTAGGCTCTGAATTGTTTCAAAATTTCCACAGCATCATTCCAGCTGATGCTGATTTTGTATTTGTGTGATTTGGCATAGCAGTGCTTTGTAACTCAGTGGTATCCCAATTCCCAAAACTGGCTTCTTGCCTTTACTAAAACACTAGGCAGTCATCTCTGATCCAATTCCTTTAAAAGTGTAGTGAGACCTAATTTTCCAGAACATCTCATCTGTTACAGAGAATAGATTTTGTTTTTGTTTTTGTTTTTTCTACTCCAGTTATGCTACATAATACTACCTTTTGCATTCCAGCTTAATGTAATCTTCCTTGGGATTGCTTTATATAAAATGTTTCATCATACTGCTATACTGAAACCTGAATCAGGCTGTCTTGATAATATCAAGTAAGTGATTTTTATTTTTGTTTTCTATAGGTTGCCTTATATTTATACTCCAAACTATCCTTTCTTTTATGTCAAAATCTTATGACAAAATGATAAAGAATATGCGTGTATTATCTTTGCTGAATAAGACTATTGATTGACCATCAAAGTGATTTGATCTGCCTGAACATAAGTGTAATAAAGTTCTGTTTTCAAAGATAGTTTTTCTCCTAAATTCTTATTTAGAACATGTTAATTTTAAATATATATATATATTCATTTTGTCCTGAAAACAAATGCAATGTTTCTATTTAGGACAGATTATTATTATTATTTTATTTTAATTTTTTGAGACAGACTTTCACTCTTGTTACCCAGGCTGGAGTGCAACGGCACAAACTTGGTTCACTGCAACCTCTACCTCCTGGTTCTAGCGATTCTCCTGCCTCAGCCTCCCGAGTAGCTGGGACCACATGCACCTGCCATGAAGCCTGGCTTATTTTTTGTATTTTTAGTAGAGACAGGGTTTCACCATGTTGGCCAAGCTGGTCTCGAACCCCCGACCTCAGGTGATCTGCCTGCCTTGGCCTCCCAAAGGGCTGGGATTATAGGCCTGAGCCACCATACCTAGCCGGATTATTCTTTCTCAGAGCAATTACATTACTTCCTCACACTCCATCTCCTCATCCAGAGAAATGTGATGAGAGCCAGATGATTGTACCCACAAGTACGAAAAGGGGGATTTTACATCACAGAAGAGAAACCCCAGATTTATGAATCTGAGCATTTACATAGGAACTGTTAGACAGCTGCCCTCTCCTTCTGAGAGAGATAAAGAAACCTTCCTAATGTAAACAGATATTTTGTCATATAAAAATATGGCTCTAAATTTTACCTCCCTTTGAAATATTAACACTTAATCTTCTGAGAGCTAAAGCTAAATGTCTCCAGAAGTCTTCATCTATTTAATCATCTTACAACTTTGAAAGTTTGTTTTTTCACCCAAGTTCCACTTTTGTATGCTCAGAAAGTCCTTCCATGCAACCATATGAAAATATTCACATTTTTTTTCAACACTAGTAGGACTTTCTATAGGCAAAAACAAAGTGATTAATTTACATTTCCTGAAAAGAAAAATAGTTGCATTCCTTCATATGACAAAAAAAGTATCTTGTTTCTTTGGAGTGTATGATATTTTAGAAAGATAGTAATATTTAGATGCATATTAGTTATTAAGATACAATATATTAAATTTCATTTTTATGTAATTTCCCTATGCTAGTGTTATATTTGTTAAGTGCTTTTATTTAAATGAATGTATTTTCAGAATTTTCATGAGGTAACCTGTGAATTTTCTGTGCTACTGACATTCTCCTTGAGCTACTTCAGATAGCAATTATGTCACTCATTTTCCATCTTTCTACATTCAGTGCCTGACGATTCTTGGCCCATAGTAGGCCCTCAATGAATGTTTACAGAATAAAGTAACATATTAAAGACTTTAGTGTTTAGGTGTATTGACATTAAGTAGTTAATTTTGTTGAAGGAATTATTTATCTACATTAAATAAAAAGGATAACCAAGGAATTAGAAAAACTAAAATATAGTGGTACAAAATAGAAATTATTTGCAGTGAGTGATAGCCTTTTGTAATTCTCAATATTACTTAGTTGAGATAACAGTCATTGTATTGTTGAATTATGTACCATTAAATGGTACTTCTAAAATACAGTATTGGTTTCTTAGATTATTGGTTCCTGATGAAATTGAATTTGGATAAATTAAATAGGCACATAAAATAATATTTATCATATTGTAGTTATACTCACTTTAGTAGAAATTACATCTTTGCACCCATTTTGTAGTATAAAATAAAACACAAGTAACACTTTATTTATATCATGTATTTAAATACTGTCAGAAATAAGGGAGTAAGACTTTCAACATTTATGTAACACTGGGTAAAAAAACAGCAGAAAGGATTATTCTTTGTCCTATATTTCAAGTATACTTTTTAGGTTTTTTTTTTTTAATTTTTGTCTAATTTAACAAAGATAAAGACGTTTTCTTACCTTTAACTTTATGATTTGTATTTAGTACTGTCACGTATTTTTAAATATCAATTTGTTTGTATGATGTTCATATGCTTTTGGGTAATTGGGTTGAATCTTTATGATATTACCATTTAGAAAACTAAACACAAAAAATCAATAATTATATTTAGTGGCATTGGTAGCATCAAGTTTTATATTACAAAGCAAATAAAGTCTTAAATGAAAATACCTTGATTTCAATTATGTCTGAACTGCTTTCTAGGTTATATTCTTTGGAAGGTATTTAATCTTCCTGAGTCTTCCTCTCTTTAAAAATGGTGTAATAATGAAATATACCTGACCATTAAATGGGCAGAAGAGTATAAACCTTTGATGATGCTCTTTAAAATTTTAGTTAAAGAGGGAGAGAAATTGGGTAGTTGTTAGAGGGATATTGAGGATTTTTAAAAATTTGTTTTTATTTTTATTTATCTATTTTTTTTTTTTCAAGCGATAGAGTCTTGCTCTGTTGCCCAGTATGCAGTGCAGTGGCGCCATCAAAGCCTGCTGCAGCCTAGACTTCCTGGGCTCAAGTGATCCTCCCACCTCAGCATCCCTCGTACCTGGGACCACAGGCATGCAGTCATGCCTGGCTAATTTATTTCTATATTTTTTTAATAAATAAAAATGATGGGCTTTCACTGTGTTACCCAGGCTGGTCTCAAACTCCTGGCCTCAAGCTAGTCTTCCACCTCAATCCCAAAGTGCTGGGATTACAGGCATGAGCCCCTGCACCTGGCCAAGAATGTTTTTAAGATGAAAGAATTATCAGTATAGATATGTTGGTGGAAAAGAACCAGTGACAGAGAAATTAGGAATATAGGAAAGGAGAATTAATGTTGCAGTAGTGATCTGAGGTTGTGTAAAGAATGTGATCCAGAACGGTGGTAGAGCAATTCCACTACACTGGATTTCAGGAAGGACATTTTTCCAGTAAGCTAAAAGAAGCTGTGTAAGAGGATCCTTTTCCACTGAGACTGGATGGAATAAATAAGAACAGGTGTGATGTGGATATGTTGGTGGAATTGGGGTGGAGCATTGACTTGAGGGATTTCTTCCTAGTCTCCTCAGTTTGGTGGGAAAGATAGTCTTTGGCAGGATAAAGGCACATGTTGAAGGAAAACAATAGGAAATACGTCTCCAGAAAATATTTCTTAATACTTCCAGAATCTGAAGAAAATTTCGTTTTATTTAAAATACAATACATTAGAGATTTAAGAAGTGGTTGTAAAGAAATCAGCAGGACATAATTGATAAGGAAAATGATTTTAAAAAATAATGATTTTGAACATTAAGTAAAACTGAAAATCTGGCATAGTTTTTAAACAAGAATAAGGCTCTGTATAATATATATTCAAAATGGTACAGGAAATGTGAGAGTTTTAAAGATATAAGAAAAATTTATCTGCAAAGTCTTTTTTTTTTAAGTATATGGGGGAAAGCATAAAAGTTAATGTTTACTTTATTTTTCAAAAATTTTTGTAAAATGGTGAACAAGACGGGCCCCCTTGTTCAATTTATTAAGAATAAAAAACCTTTATTCTTAATAAGCCTCATGTAAGACCCTTTGGAAGTCAGTGTCTTTCTGAAACTAGTCATTCATTCAATTACCAAATATTTGTTGCTTTGATTATACACATTCTTTCACATGCTTATATCTCCTTTATCTAAAATGTGTTTGCTTCTCCCTGAATTCACTGCCACCATTTTCTTTAAGCCACTACCATCTTCAGAATCAATGCAGCAGGCCACCTAACTTCTCTGCCCCCATGGATTCTTGCTCCTGCCTTCACCAGCTAGAGAGAACTCTTGAAAAGCTTAAATCCAATCATGCAACACTCTTGGGTAGAACTGTTCAGAAGAGCCCATTACTCTTAAACTAAAGGTCAGACTACCTGCCAAGATCCATTAAACCTCTCTCATCTAGTTGCCCTTTTCTTTCTTCAGCCTCATTTTATGCATTTTGGCCCTCTGGCCATTCTAGACATGGTCTCTTTTGCCTCAGATCTTATCTCTGCTGTTTCTCTGCTGACTTTCTCTTCCCTAACACTAGGACAGGCTGACTCTTATGTATCTTAATTAATTAAATTGTCATTTTATTATCTTAAAAATTAACTTTTTATAAAAATTCTAAATTTACTGCAAGTCATCATAGTAAACTTCTTTTGATGTTAATACAGAACGTTTAATTGGCTGGCTCATTACTATGTTAATGAATTCTCTGGAAAAAATAATAAAATATAGAGTGAAGTAATATAGGTAATATGATTACAGGGGAAATGAGGTATGCCCAATTCTTGGATTTAACTAAAAATGTAATAAGTAATTGAAATTAAATAATACATTTCAGTTTGCTACTTGCTTACTTGTCCTTTGTTTCTTTATTATCCAAATAGATAATTACAGTCAGTGGAAATAATTCCAATCATTTGATTCTTCTCATTGAGTTTCTGACAGGTCAAAATTGGTGCTTACAATAATTATAGCAAAACTCTAACCTAATTAAAAAATACTGTATGTAAATATGAGTAAAATTGTTATTGAATTGTTACCACATGAAATTAACTTATAGTATGGCTGAAGTACTATGACACATGAAACTTTAATTTGTGAGGAGCCATTAGAACTCTCTTGACATTTACCTTCAAAATAAAAATGGATGGTTTCTGTAATCACCCACTTCTATTATTGAAAAACATTAACAAATGTATTTTAAAATAATTTGTTCAATAACATCTCAAGTTATTTTGAAGAAAAAAAATGAAATAGCCATTTTAAGACCTAGGAAAGAACATTCTGCCTATGTGAAAGGAGCTCAGAATCTACCAGGCTTTCCTTTTCTGTATCTGTCCCTTTGCCCTTTCTCATCAACAGACTTCTACATAAAGCCTTGTGATTTTACTGGGTCATGTTTTCTGATTTCTGGTC